AGTTGTGGGAGCTTCATCACTGGAGGCTTTCAAGAAGAAATTGGACTGGCATTTGTCAGAAATGGTGTAGGGTCTCCTGCTTAGGTGAGGGGTTGGACTAGATGACCTACAAAGTTGCTTCCAACTCTTGTTAATCTATTTCTATTTCTAAAGAAGAACTAGAAAGTCCAGGTGCAAAGTCTTGGAAAAGCACCTTTGGGTCAACCATGACCTGGATGACCGAGAATCTCCATAGACTCCATAGACTCTCCACCACCATAATTTTAAGTCAAAAACTTTATTTCAGTCCTTACTGGAAACTATAGATGAACACACACACATGTGAGGTTCCTAGCTTACTTGCCCATGCTTCTTAACTATGTCATATTAGAGCTTTATAGCTCTATCTCTGCACTAGCTGAGTTCGCACATTATACAAAGTCATAATGGGACAAGTGAGCCCATTGCTTGCAGAACTGTTTGTATGAACACAGCTGATCATGCCTTACTTCACAAACTGGGGCTTTCAACTTGTTTAGTGTGATAAGAGAACCTATTCTGCATGCCTTGTAGTAAGCCTGGATCCTAACATCAAGTAATCTCTGTGTAGAGACGATCCATTTTAACTCTGGACGCCTCCATGCCAACCAGATTCTCAGAATGTTCTACACTATAAGTGGGAAATCAAAGGAAAAGTTATTAACATGTATTTAAATCAGAGCTCACTAGCCAGATCCCACTCATGTATTTATTATTAACTTTAATCCAGGAATAGATCTATTGAAATGGTTTTTTTTTCCCAGCAGAGAAATCTTTAAGTACCACCTTCATAAAAACTCATAAAAACTGAACAGCTTTAAGGCTCCCTTAACATTTATGTAGCTTTTAGATAAAAGGTAAAGGTTCCCCTCGTACATATGTGCTAGTCGTTCCTGACTCTAGGGGGCGGTGCTCATGTCCATTTCAAAGCCAAAGAGACAGCGCTGTCCAAAGAAGTCTCCGTGGTAATGTGGCCGGCATGACTAAATGCCGAAGGCGCACGAAACACTGTTACCTTCCCACCAAAGGTGGTTCCTATTTTTCTACTTGCATTTTTACATGCTTTCGAACGGCTAGGTTGGCAGAAGCTGGGACAAGTAACGGGAACTCAGTCCTTTACGTGACGCTAGGGATTTGAACCACTGACAAGCTCAGCATCTTAGCCACTGAGCCACCGCATTCCCTATGTAGCTTTTAGACATCTTGAAAATTGATGCAACCTTTGGTGTGAGGATTTCCTAAATAACTACAAGAGTTAATGCACACAATAATTATTCCATTTTGTTCCATTTCTTACGTTTAAAATATCATAGGAAAAATTAGTCACCTTCTAATTCAATATTTGTTAACTTTGGCAGCTTTAAGATGTATAGTCTTCAACTCCCTGAATGAGTTACGCTAACTGGAAAATTCTGGGAGTTGAAATCCACATGAGAAACATGGCTGTGGTCAATACTTCATTGGAATACTTGGCCAATGTTTTAGTCACAGCTGAATTTCACCTTTAGGAACCTGTGGGCTGAAAGGAGGAGTCAAGCAGGGAATTAGCCTTGACTCCTTGCGCAGCCATGAGAGATGGCTTCAGCTCTGCCACCCCCAAGATCCATGAACATTTATCTGCTTACTCCCTGGAGAAGGAAAGCGGTCTTGGGAGATTCTTATAGTACAGGAAGAGGTCAATAAAGTTGCTGATTCAAGCTATTCCCGAGAGGCTCTAGTTCAGGAGTGTTAAACCTAAGGCTTGTGGGCCAAATCTAGCCTGCAGGGTGCTTAGATCTGGCTCACCCTGGTAACAGTGAGGGAGTAGCCCATGGTGCCTCTGCCAGTGAAAATGGACTCCCGAGCTCCGTTTCCAGCTGCAACAGCCTCCTGCAACTGTATGCCAGCAAAAATGGACTCCTGAGCTCTGTTTCCTGCTGCAACGGCCTCCTGCAACCCTCTGCCAGCAAAAATAGAGCTCGGGAGGGCCCATTTTTGCTGATAGAGCACTTGGGCTGCCACAGGAGCCCCCGAAAGGAGTGACATCAAGCAGGCCACACCCACTCTGCCCCCCTGAGGTCAAACACAACCCTGGTGGCGTCCTCAGTGAAATCAAGTTTGACACCTCTGCTCTAGTTGCTCGAACCTGACATCGTATCCCTTCTTAATCCTGCTTTCTTTTTGACTTTAGTTGGGCATCGGCATTGGCAGAGGGCACCTTGTGAATGTCACCATGGAGAAGAAGGAGAACTTTCCAGCTCTTAATTCCCTGAACGAGTACCAGCCGATTGGGACAGCGGATAAAATTGGCCAGAGTGGCAACACTCAAAGGAATGGTGGAAACCAAAGAACCATGCAACTGAAAAAGGAAATCTCTCTCCTTAACGGCATCTGCCTTATTGTAGGGAATATGATTGGGTCCGGGATATTTGTTTCTCCCAAAGGAGTGCTGAACTACAGTTTGTCCTATGGATTATCCCTAGTCATCTGGGCCCTGGGAGGCATGTTCTCCGTGATCGGAGCGCTCTGCTATGCTGAACTGGGCACCACGATCACCAAGTCGGGAGCCAGTTATGCATATATCTTGGAGGCCTTTGGAGGCTTCATTGCCTTTATACGTCTGTGGACATCGCTGTTGATCATTGAGCCCACCAGCCAGGCCATCATTGCAATAACCTTCGCCAACTATATTGTGCAGCCAGTCTTCCCTTCTTGTCAGCCTCCGTACATTGCTTGTCGTCTTATCGCTGCGGCTTGTGTATGTGAGTATTCCCCACAGGTCTTCGGGCCTGAATTTGCTTCCTCCAGAGCTGGGGATGGGTGGGAAAGGAGGGCCCGAAGCAGTGGTGGGTTCCTAACCAGTTTACTACCAGTTCACTGAGACAGCATTTTGCATGCATGCTGCTCATTTCCCTCACTTGTATGCCCACTGCACATTGCGCAGTTGACTGAAAACTCCACATGCACAGAAACATGCCGGCAATGTTAGAAGAGACCAGGGAACCGGTTCAGGGGCGTGGCAGGCCTGGGTTGCTGCCGGTTCCAGCGACCCAGGCTGCCATATCACTCCCAGTTCAGCTGAACCAGTCCGAACCACTGGTCAGAAGTGGACCTGTTGTGGTGTGGTCTGCCATGCCTTTAAAAATGGGATTTGCTTAGCTAGTGCAGAAGGAGAGTTCAAATGGTGGCGATACAAGAAATACCCTTCTTTTTGCGCAGAAAAGGGTGAAAAGCTAGTGTGCACTATGGGTCTAGTGAACTGAGGGACAAGTCAATCCTTCAGAAGCTTAATGTGCCATCCATAGCGGCCCCTGACCTTCTGGAGTAAACTCAAACCAGGGTCAACCAGAAAGTTCCAAGATTGATTATGGACTTCAACTTGGGCCTCCTAAGTGCTTGTCCAATGCCTTGAACCAACACACCAATGTTGCCTCTCTAAGATTCAGTTGTTATGGCTTGAAAAGACCGATTTAACATGAATTCTGTTTTGTTTTGTTTTTCTGGAGAAGCATGCTCACAGATAGCTGTCTACACAGTGTAAATGCACAGATAGTCCTTGGCTTATGACCGTAATTGAAACCAACATTTCTGTTGCTAAGCGAGATATTAGTTAAGTGAATTTCACCCCATTTTACGATCTTTCTGGCCACAGCTGCTAAGTGAATAACTGCCGTTGTTAAGCTAGTCACACGGTTGTTAAGTGAATCCGACTTTCCCATTGATTTTGTTTGTCAGAAGGTTTCGCAAAAGGGGATCACGTGATTGCGGGACACTGCAATGGTCATAAATATGATGTCAGGCTTCCCAAAATAGCATCCAAAAGTAAATCAGAGTCCAAGGCAAAGTATTGCTCAAAGTTCCAATTTATGAAGAGAGCCATGTTGGCACATCTGGGAAAACCCGAATCCGAAAGCTTCCTGGTTTCCACAAAGAAGAGGGGGTCAACCTA